AACAGAAGACGCTCGCCATTTTTTATTCACATTATTTTAAAAAATGGGAAGAGTTAATAATGGGTGCATAGATTCCTCTGTGATGCATCTTAGGTTATAGGTGTGACAAGTCTTATCTGAACAAGAACCTCTGAACTTTGGCATCATGGCTACAGCTTGCCAGAAAAAAAGAGCTACTGCTTTGTTCACGTGAGAGGTCTCAGCATCCCAACAAGAAGTTGCAGGAACAAACAAACAAACAAACAGTAGTTCCTCAGTGTGGGCAAGTCATTGCTCAGGCCCAGAAAGTTCCTTCAGACTGCTTGTCCCCACTTACAGGCTTCATTGCTTGAATGCTAGCTTTATTCAGGCAGACAGCCTTCCCGACTGTGTTCAAAGTGATATAGCCACCCTTCCCCAACTCACCTAAAACAGTGGTTCAGACATTTCTTGGTTCTTTACATGTGGAGTGGCAGTGCCAGAGATTAGTGTGACTGTGCGTTTGGGATTTCTCTGAAAGTTTCTCCTCAATAAGTATTTTAAATATCAAGGCCCTCTAATCACTTTGTTTTTTTCTTTTTCTGTCTCTTCTTCCTGCCTCAGCCTGGAATGAGGATCTGCTTTGCGTTTTCTGTGTTCTGCACTTAGCAAATGCATTTTAGTTGAGCCCCTGGGGATCGAAATATTGTTTTACCTGCTATTAAAATGTTACCAAACCTCATATATAGTTCCCATTCTCCAGCAGGAAGCGAGATTTTATACCGGCATGTCTCTTTACTTTCCTCTCAACACTTTCAAGTTAAGAGCTTGACTCCAGTCAGAATCTGAAGAAAGGGCTGGAGGAAAATTACTTGTTTACATTTGGTTTCAGGCTAAAGATGGTTAGAAGAGAAGAGGCAGAACCCTACTTCTTTTCCAACAACCAGCAATTGTTGCTACCTTGGACCTCATAATGGCACATCAGCATTTCTTGAATGTGGGCAGTGTTTGTTGTTTCTGATAGTGACACTGATTCAGTCTAGAGGTTCTTATGACCCTGTCAATTTTTTGAAATAAATGTCATTCCTGGGTGTTGCTGGCTGAGGATTATTTATTTCTTGGTCAGTGTTTATAAAACCAAAGTCTGCTTCCAAGTTTTGATTCCTAAAATGTTCTAAAGCATCTTGGCAGTACATCTGCAAATCAATATACTTTTCACTGCAGCTATAATAGCAAGTGAATTTACTGTTGAGAGGAAGACTTTTATTTTCTCACATTCAAACGATTATGTTATAAGTGCTGAGGAAATATGATATACTTACAATAAAAATAGTAGCTCAACAGAAGAATGGTAAGCTATGCATGTCAGATGGAAAGTATGCTTATGTTTACTGTGTAGACTGTCCAGAAAAGTGCCAAAATATTCAGAGCTCTCTTCAAAAATGAGTCTTCCCCAGCCAGGTTATAAATTCTGAGAATTTTAGTTCTAAGATATCTGCAGGGCAGCAGGTTGGGGAAGCTTAGATGAGCACCATTGTTTCACCAGTCATCCTAGAAATAGAGCTGTGCAAATCCGTAGAAAGATATGTTTTGGAACATACAAGGTGTGCACAATGCATCTTTTTTCTAAGCTGAGGTGACGGCTTGAGAAGTTGATTCTAGCTGTTTCCTCGTGATTGTGCAGGCATACCACTTCGCTTCATTTTCCTTTATTTTGGAAAATATTAACTAGGGCTAGTGCTCTTGCTTTCTGAGTTGAATCCAGACAGGTTTGGCCAAATGTTTCGCCCAGTATTGCTTGTTTATTGTTATTGGATATTAGTAATCTAGCTATGAAAGATTGAAAAAAGGAGAAGAGGACAGCAGAGGATGAGATGCTTAGATAGCATCACTGAAGCAATGAGCATGAAACTGAGCAAACTC